GGCCGCCATATTTGTGGTAATTACATATTTTGACTTATAGAATAATAGCTGCTAAGTGTGAGACATATGATAGAAATGCGAGTGCTAGTCAGTAGAAAACAATTGTAATGATTTCTCGCTACCGCAACGAAGAGTGTGAAAAAGATGCTTAAATCACACGGCTTACGAAACGGATCAAAAAGTGCATAATTAAAAGTCATTTTCCGAAAGAAACCATTAATAATTAAATATAAAAGGCAAACTTTAATTTATAAAATGGTTACAAGTGTAAAATGAAATTAAAGTAATAAATTTTGAAAACATAAAACTTTTACATGATTATAAGCCATTTTCGTCTTTGTGTTAATAATTCAGCACCACCACATCATAACATTTCTAGATTAAATATAAAATCCTTCAGTACAAAGTTGTTTGCTTGCAAGGATATAGCACCAACAAACAGTTAAATTAGAAAAATCCGCATATCATCTTTTCTCATAAATTTAACACAGCGCAGGACTGCTTTATGATGAACGTCTGACTGTGCGTCAGTGTGGTCTCTAAATTGAGTTAAGAACTGGCTTAGTTAAGATATTTTCTGCAGAGCATAATCCCAAAACATATTTGTTTGTATTGTCACGCACGGAGGCCAATTTGAATTAGCTTGTTAATTTGGCAATTTCTTGGATATGATAGAGGCGGAAATTGTGCCTGAACTTGCTTTGCGCTGCAGCGCCTGGGAACTCTCCCTTGGTATGCCAATTCACCAAGCGATTGAAATATTTAAAAGGCTCGAGGGGATCATCACTAATATAGATGTTTGGTACTCCGAAAAGGTAGGTTATTAAGCTTTCTTTTACTTCTCCAGTCACCCTTCGATTTCGATATACTCCTACATCTGACTAATGATGGCATAAAGTTGCATTTCGATCCCAAGTGTCAGAGGCTTAAGGTTTGGTTATCAGTCTCCTAACCTTGTTTTTCACTCAGCTGATCGAGATCACTGACCTTTCAAAAATATCGCTGAGATATTTGTCCCAGCATGTCAATGCTCCATCTGAAGCCCCAACTCTCGCAACTATTATTAGCGTTTTTGGGTCTACTAAGCAATTCCGTACGTCCATGACTGCTTCTGATTTCTACTCTAGTAGTAGTTGTTATGTTATTGCTGAACTTTGGAATATTTTAAGATATAAGACACAGATTGTTCCTTTACAGGTAGTGGAAAACATTATGGCGCAGGTGTGTTCATAATTGTTCTTTATTAAAGGCTTAGTAAAGGTGGCACTTTCTACTTTAAGTTATTTGGCTGGTATTGCTCACTTTGTACACACTCTAGTGTCAACATTAAGCGTATTTCTTTTGTACTCTGTGGGAATACGGTATTGAAACAGATCAATCAAACTGGATCTGTCACTACCGCATTCGTACAAGTCTTTTGAGCGTCAGCCTCGATGCCCTTGGTAAAACTACTCTAAAGTGCAAACAGTGGTCATGCGTTCATTTACTATCTTGAACGGGCTCCCGGACCCTTTGGTTTTTTGTGGAGTTTTAGGGATTTGTCCTTGGTTTACATATCATCGGTGGTTTTTGTTCCATTTAGATTTGTCCCATTATTTTAAATATTTTTTCTTAAAATCAAACATACTCTTTCTTCACACTAGTTTCAGGAGGCGGTTTAAAATTTCGCTTCCAGCTATTCTTGGGGCTAGAAACTAAAGGCGATATGTTTACTATCAGCGTACAGAGAGAGTGAATTTCTTGCTGAACGAGCGACCATGATATGTCGGTGGGACCATGAAGTTAGGCGATTCTTTGGGTTCCTTCTCGCCAGGTTGCAGCTTCCCTACCGGCTCACTTCCACAAAACGGATCTGATTCTTTCGTCTCCTTTTGTTGTCAAACATTTTGTCCTTTTTAATGATGTTCTTCCCTACAGTATATGAGCTGTTTTTCTTCCAAACATAGTGCCAGATGAGGAGCCAGGCTACTTTCGCCTTTGCTACCGGGGTCTTACATTTCTCGCTTCCTCCGCGTGCGATATGGAAGCGATAGGGGCTGCAGGCTCAGAAGAGACTACCTCCACACCGCCCTCCACAATCGGGAGCACCACTCTCACTGACTTGGGAACAGCGACATTGGAGACCGATGAGGAGCAACTGATTGTGCGTCGGATTTTCATCTTTCCTGGACAGAACGTTGATGAGACTAAGTGTGTTCTTGTTTCTTTGTGCGTAGCAATGTTTGTCCCTTCTTGAGTTTGTTCTGGTTCAATAGCTTAAGTCACTTCAATTCATGTGACTGGGTATGCTAAAGGGGACAGTTTGGTGATGGTAATAGTTGTATACTTCAGAACTTCATTTTTGACGTATTTTAGCACTCTCAAACGCAATTTTAACTCAGCGAAGTTACAGAAGATATCCATTGCAAATGTGGAAGCTTCTCTGGACTTTACCAGCTTTATTTTTCATTTGGGAATCGAATTGTTTTGTTCGTCAGTCTTAAATTGTAATCGAATGAATTTCTAGTGATTGTTTTGTGCCAAGCGGGAAGGCATCAGTGGGTCTATATTCCTGTTGACACTGTAACCTTTAGAGGGAGGGGAAGCGCGTCATCTCCCACGAACGTTTTGATTTGCTTTTGCACTTTATTCATGCTGCAAACATGAAGTACAACATTCCATCAAATTTCCTGTACTTTCTTTTAAACACATCACTTCCATACTACTTTTACCATCACAAATGAATAATTTAGCTGCACTAATCAGTGCGGGTATTTAATCAGAGTC